TGAAGTTTTTTACATACACACAAATACACATGCATCCTAAATATGTTTTTAACAACATTTCTCTGGAGAAATGTTGATCAGTTGATCCATGGAACAGAATGCTCTTAAAAATAAACAAGTCAAATTTGAAGAACATATGGCCACTATGGAATGCTATATTTTTACAAGAAATTCCTCATACCCCTATTGTAAATGCAGAGTTAAAGTTGTAAACAATGAAGATTGCTAAAAATCAAAATATAATATCCCTGTAGAATAGCTATGTGTGTATGTATATATCTTTAACTTTTATTTTTGGGTAGCATTGATTACAACACTGTATACGTTTTGGAGTTACAGGTTATCTTTAACTTTTATTTTTGGGTAGCATTGATTACAACACTGTATACGTTTTGGAGTTACAGGTTCACACCTCTTGTAGTGCATGGGACACACCCATGATGATAACTGGATGCACTACCTGCTTTAGGGCTGGATGTTTAGCTCTCAAAAAGGACATAAGATAGGAGTAAAAGTAGCAAGCTCAGCTTTCTGTATTAAAGTGACACTTTTAGCACTCTTGCTAAGTGCAATACTCAGAAACAAGAAGCTAATATAAAAGCTAGTCAGAAAGAGTGAATTCCATAGATATGGAATAGGCAGCCACATAAGCACTCACCCCATAGAATCACCACCACCATCCAGAGAGAATAACCCTAGATAAGGTCCTTTCCACTCAGATGGGCTCATAGGTACCAACTCTCAAAAATGAAAGCTGGTTCTTACCCACAACAGTCAGCCCAGTCACTATGAGTGAAAATCACAGATACTTTTGCACTATAGGTAATTGAACTCTATTGATGGTTATTGTTTTAAAAAAATATTTGCGTAAGTAAAGCAAAGAATACAATTTGTTGGACAATAAATCAATATAAATCAAATTACAAAAATTAGAAGTTAAATTTTAGAACTCAGGAATCTTACAAAATATGTTTATACTTACTATAATGTGTACTAAAATATGTATCTGTACATTTGCATTTTTCATGTAAATGTAGGCACAATGTCAAATTAAAAAATAACTTTGAGGTGTTCATATCTGAACAAACTCAAACTAATTTGTTTAAAGTTTTTCAACTTCATTTGCTGCTATGTAGACAGTCATTGTAAAGATCCAGCAAAATGAAATTCATCAGAGATGTCTTGGCTTTTTTCCACTTTCTGTTTTTAAACCTTTTAGATGAAAATGACAGTCATTTGAGTCACTTAAGCTTTATGCTTTCAATGAACACATTTACAGAAAGTTGGAGGAAAGTACCATTGTGCTTAGACAGCATAGGTTTTCCTGCCTCCCACTGATGAGGGTTCCCTCTGTCTCCTCTGCCTTTCTCTAACTCACCATCATGTTAAACAAATGCATTTGAAATTTGTAACATGATTTTGATTTTCCCTGTGTCTGTCAAATGAAAATTTATGATTCTATTCAAGTATGTAAGCCTGTTTTTTAAAAAGACTATATTTAGTGATTTTGGAAATGTTTCATGAGAAAAACCCAAACATATTTTGGATAGTGGAAAAGAAGTCTAAACATACCTTAAAATAGGATAGCTTTTTGTGTCACTGTAGGATGAAACAAGCATGGTAGGAATGATCATTCCCCCCCCACCCTGGAATTACCTTTTTTTTTTTTAATTTTCTAAAGAAAAGAAAAAAAAAAAAACTACTGATAAGTATTAATAACAGTCTTGGAAAACATTCAAGCTGTAAACTGACCTTCATAGAAGGTCAGCTGTTCACTGAATGAGTATGAAGAGCTTTTATGCTACAGTTGATGCGCTTAGTGTCCATTTTAAGTTCACTGTCTCTTGCAAATCACATTGCCTACGCTGCAGTAGATGGAGGTAGTTTGACACTGTTCTCCCAGTTCTGAAGAGGCCACTTTTCAGAATCCGTCTTGTCCACATGGGTTATTTATATTTTTCCCACTTTGCTGACAATGCCAAAAATGTGCCAGCTGTCTTGACGAGTTTTGTCTAAGTGAGCTGGATGGAGATCACTAATTTATTTTACACAGGCTTCTAGAAAGCTTAATTGATTAGGTATTTAAACATCTGACTGTGTGTTTAATGCAGAAGACAGTGAAATAGTACTCAGACCACCCATGTGTCTCGAGAGGAATATTTCAGGAAAAACTTTCTGTCATGTCTTGTTCCGAATTACCCTAGCGCATTGAAACTCAACCCGAGCATGACCTGGGAAGTAGCATTTTGGCTGTTCCCATCTGTAATCTGTGGACTGTAGTGTGGAAGTAGCCATGGGAGAATGGGGGTTGAGTGTGGTACTTAAAGCTACTAAGCTAACTTCCAGTTACCAGGTTTTTACTAGTTCCTACATCTATGGCACTATAGGTAACTAAATGGGTCTGTCATAAACATGTTTTCTGTCCTAAGAGGAAGTTTAAGTGAAAGTTCAGATCTCACTGTGAGGTAATTGAAGGCTGAGCAGTACCTGGTTATGGAATTCTGTAATGGATTTTGGGTTACTCAGCCTGTACTGAGTAGTAGGCATAGGAACAGAGAGTGTGTGTTAAAATGAGGGATCATTATCCAGATGGAATTGGTTCTTCATGAATCTTTGGTTTCTTGCCACAATTTTCATGACTGACAGTATCAAGAGAGGAAAAAAATATGTAGTGATATCTAAAGATGAAAATGTTATCTCACATACATATTATTAGCCAATGAAGAGGGAAAGAGAGCTATCACCCCTAGACTTTCCTTTCTCCTAAGAGTCCAGAAGCACTTGCCTTTTTTATACAAGCAGAAAGTCAACAGTTCTTTTTTTTTTTCTTGTTCACATAATTCCCCTCTCTAAGACAATTCTACAAAAAAGAAAAAAAAAAGCAATTTTGCTTTGAAATTCTAAATGTCATGTTGGTTAATTTAGGTTTTTGTTTTTTTGGGGAGTAGTCAGAAAACACATTTTCTTATCATCCAAATCAGCATGTAGTATGTTATTTTTCTAATTTAGTGAATTATTTTCAGAGACTTCTCCATTCCTAAACAGCAGTACCATCATACTACCACCATCATAAGAAAGCTGAATATAATCTATTAACATTGTTCCTCTTCCTACTTATAGGAATCTAGCTTGGTCATAGAGCACATAAATGTACATTTATTATCTAAAAAAAACTTGTCTAAATGTAGGGCAAATCAGTTACCTATAGCTTAGCAAGTATATTTTATGAAATTATATTTCAGTATATCTGTTCTACATATACATACATTCCATTTTATAAATGATCACCATCAAAACAGAAGGCCAGTGTACAAAGTGCTTCTCTTTAGGTCTCAGGTAGCTGCCATTCCAGCTGCAACTCTGTCACAGAACCATTCCAGCTGCAACTCTGTCACAGAATGGTTGTGGCAACTTGTCTTTTGACTTCCTTTCCCTGTTCTTTTCTTCTTTTCCCCTCATGGGAAGGCATGGGATTGGTGATCACTCGGATCACTGCTCCAACTTTGTATGATTCTGTAACATGCCTGTTTCAGCAAGTGAGTTCATACAAGATGGAAAAAAATATGATCCCTGAAGGTGACTGTTACTGAGATAGTAAAACACACAGTGAACAGTTGGATGAGACAGAGAAAGCATTTCATTGGGAAATGGAGAGAATGTTTGCATAATATGTCTGTTTCAAAATATGGGAGCCATTATAGCTAGCAGTTGTTTAAAAAAAAAAGAAAGAAAGAAAGAAAGAAAGAAAAGAAACCACAACAACTTTTACAATCTTTCAGGGAGATGGCAGTCGACTTTCTTCTTCATTGTGCAATACCCTGTGATCAGAATTAGCATGTTCATTACAGTCTCATTTTATTAATGTCTCTTTTTGAAGA